CCCCCAGACCAAAGAGACGTCGCGACGCTCAGACGTCGTATCACGAATCGATCCTCGACACCTGTTCCGCTGTGACTATAGATAGCATTCGTCGTAATCATTTCATTAAACAAGACATAACCCCAAGATCTTTCGGAACACCCAAGAAAATCCACGAAGGTAATATATCCCATCTACAGTCGAAAGACTCTGCGCCGAAGAAACAAGCAGACAATTGAGAACGTACCCGAAGGAATGTCGCTATCAGTGTCCGATTGCCACAGGTCAAAGCTTTCAGTCACTACGGAGTGATCCGATAACGGCGAAAATTTTGTAAACTTCTAATAACGTGAACGAGACAACGTGAACAGAGAACATGGATTTTAGCAGGCTCGCTCAACAAACATCTAAGAGACAGGCTGTAGACCGTCCGCGTGCAGTGCAGGTTCCTGGTCTAAAGCGTTCACTGGGTATAAGGAGTCATCAAAGAAACCGAAGAGTGGCATTGACAGCGGGTGGCATTGACACCCGGAGCGTGACACCTGTCAGCATAGGGAGGTATGATTATAGATACCAGGACAGAGAAAGAAGAAAAAAAAAAGATGAAAATATCTCCCAATAGGATGTCCCTGGGTTATGTACCGTCAATATAGAATATATAAAGCAGCAGACGTATCTGTGAACTTACTGAAAATTCATGGGACGAGCCTTAATCCATACACGTGGAGAGTCGGGCGTATGGGTATATATATCGAAAATCTTGAAATATCCTGGACTATCGATCACGAGTATCCTCGAGGATACCGGATCCTTGGGCACAACAAAACAATTAATACGTCAAGTATTACACAGTTCACCGATTTTACCTTCGACTGAAATATTTAAATTCAGTGCAAGGGGATGAGCACGACCAACGTTCACTGTCCTCGGCACGTAATTCGCGTTGACACGTCAGAACACGAATGTCCCGAGTATCAGGCGACTGGCCGAAGGTGCACGAGAGACGCGGATACTACAGTCGCACAGACACGAGAAACTCGACTAGAGGAATATTATTTGGTGTCGAATGTCAACACTTATTTTCGCACTGAACGATCCGGATAGAAGCACGTCAGGACGCGACGGTTATTTCGTTTGGTAAACTTGCGCTGAGGTCTGTTCGGCCTCACGGCCATAACAAGCTTCTTCGACGGTGTTCTATGTGTCTCTGTATGCGCTTGGGCGTACAGACAGACGGATGTGTACGTTTCTTGGTATGTACATAGAGGAATTCGAGGTACGGTAACGGCACATTCACAGGAGGAGCTCACAGCCAGAGATAATAAAGGGATAAAGATACGGGTGGTACGCGTTCACGTATTAAAGACACACTGGTACTGAGGCGCGACGCTCGAGGTGGAGTCCGCCGCGACGACACGGCCACCGGAGTATCGAGTATCGGATATCGCGCGATTGCACGCGCGCCTTATTATTCCTATTCGATCCGGGAAGACGATGGTGGCAGCGGGAAGTTGTTGGCCGAGAGGAGGACGAGGATAAATTTATGGATAAGGGTGTTAATGTGTATGTACGTATGTATATATATTGTATATATAGAGAAAGAGAGGGAGAAGGAAAGGATGGATACCGGGTGTGTCTCGAGGTATGAATGGAGAGAATGACAAAGGAATGAACTAGAAGGAAACGATAAATGTACGATGGATGACTGGAACGAGAGAGGAAGGATGCACGATGGAGAATGAAATTGAAAATTGGCGGCCTGACTGTGATGGCGGACGTCGCGCGCGCAGAGGCTGTCGGCGAACGACTGAATCGACGGCTAGTGCGACGGTGGCGCGGGGGAAGCGAAGGCGAGGGGAGTCGGCGGTGGGGGAATGGCGTTTCGAGAGTGGCAATGCTGGGCAATGGTGGCAATGGTGGCAATGGTGGCAATGGTGGCAATCCACCGGAGATCCAGAGGAAGCAGGGAGGACTACGTAGGGTAGGGCGGCGACCGCACTGCTGCTGCCTGGTGATGCCAGTGCTAGCTGCTGCTGCTGTTGCTGCTGTTAGTACTCGCTCTCTTGCCTTCGGTGAAGACCAGAGAGAGAGAGAGAGAGAGAGAGAGAGAGAGAGGGAGAGTGAGAGAAGGAGAGGGAGAATGAGCAAGAGGCGCAAGGCAAGAGAGAGAAAGAGAGAGAGAACAGGCAGATACGTGTGACTGGGACTGCGGAGGAATCACGAGGGACAGAGGATAACCCAGAGACGTCCCGCCATCTGGTAGAGGCGGCGCGAACGAGCGGCGCGCCTCACACGCCCGCCGCGAGCTTTTTATGAATGGATGGAAGCTATCATTGAAGTTTCGAGTTGAATGAAAACATTACCACTGTCCTGCCACCACCGCCACAGCCCGTCGCCAATCCCCACTACCGAGCATCGCGCTAACTTCGCGGCCATTGCGTTTCAGTGGGAAATTCAAATCGGATAGGGCATCCTTCTCCGTGCCGTTACCACTCTAAGGAGTATGAGCAACGTGCTGCTGAAGAATGATGCTGACTGGCTACTCAATGGGAACGAGAGAGAGAAAAAGAGAGAGAGAGAGAGGTTATGTTGCGTGAATACGGTTAGCTTGTATATAAATATTTTTCTTTTTTTGTCTATTGGAACAAGGATAACGGACCCGTAAGGAAGTCAACAAAGTCCCAGAATGCGTATAGTCTTCTAAGATGAAACCTATACTGTACGTACCCAGTACGAACGAATAGGCGGGACATTTGAATGACATGAAGTTGCAGTAAGGAAGATAGAAGAAATGTTTCATTTCTAGATCAAACTGACAGGCCCCGGGGTACGTGAGGCCCCCGTGGTGCCTCGACGTTGTCGTCACCGTCGTACCGCGATCCTTATACATTTTTTTTTCTCATCCTGCGTCGTTGGCAATTTACAATATCTGCGCCCGGGGCCTGTTTCTCTCTCTCTCTTTCTCTCTCTCTCTCTCTCCCGGCCCCGGAACCCGACGTAGTCGGAGCCTCGCACGTACCACATACCACGACCACATAGCTCAACGAACACGTAATAGAAAAGTATTCGACGCACTTTGATCCGTACCATGCGTCCTAATCCTGGTGACCACGACGACGGATATCCTGGCTTCTTATTTATTAGTCGCGGTTTCTAGGTATCCTAAGAGCGATCAAGACTGGACCTTCGGCAACGAGAGCAACCTAAGGACAATCGTAAGAAGTGAGGACCTTGACGCCCACTGTTCATGCTCATCCGCATGCGTGGAACGTTTAACATACTTTCGAGTAAAGATACTGTGGCATAAGGCCCTCCTTTTTGGGAGCTCGTATACGCTCACCGGGCTCTCCATCGGTATACGTACGCCCGAGAATCCCCTTTGGGACCTTATTTGATACCGGATGCTGGCTCGCGATGGGGCATTAACAGTTTTTGTGCGTAGAGCCCGGCACGCAACCGAATGACAGGCACCCCGAGCACGCCGCCGGCTACAAAAGGCTCGCGTGCTTCTTCAAACGCTGTACGGGCAAAGAATGGGACCGAAAAAAATGGAGGCAACGAGGATCTTTTGGAATTTTTAACCACGTGGTAGACGCCCTGTCCCACTGTGATGTATAGGTACGCAGAGTATCGGAGCCCTGTGGCCATACACGATTTTCATCAATTTTCTTCTTTTTTTCCTTCTATCTCATTAGAAATTTTTCAAATTCTTCGGCTAATGAATCCAAAGACAGAAAATTGTACACAAGTGAAGCAAGGGACGCGTGCGTGTCCGCTCGAAGCCATTACCGGGGGCCCGTTTTGTACTCTGTCAATCTCCAGAGCATACCACCGGGATAAGGCCCACGAGGGCGAATGAACGTAGAACCCGACGGCAGAGGACTCCGACCGTGCCTGTGTACTGTCTACCGTGTAAAAGTAAGCGAGTCAATGTTTTCAGGTCCGCATCGTGTAGCAAGGCCCCTAGGAAGGTCGACTGCCTCCTCGTGCGGCGCATGCGTCCGGCAGGTAGGGCCCTCCAGAGCCCTGCCGTTGGGCCTCATCGTACCTATATATCTCTGGGCTCGTGCACCAAGCTCTCTGGAATATCAGACCAAGCCACGAGGCTCTGCCAGCAAGACTACCCATCTCGAGG